TACCTCTATTTCGTTGAGATACCGCATTATATCTTTCTCTCTGTACCGTCTCCTAAGTCATAAGTGGACACTCTCGAATAAAATTTCCAATATCCCCACATCTAAAACAAGCTCCTGAGATCACTCTACAAACTCATGTATGATTCTTTCCACAATATGAACATTTTCTGACTTGACTGAAATTTGATATTCTATCAGGAAAAACATCTGATTCCAACATCTTCTGAGTTGGAGAATCTCCTTCTCTAATTTTCTTTGATAGCGAGGAACTTGACGAAGCACCCATTCTTTTGAACTTCTAAGCTTTTTGTTCTTTAAATCTTTCATTCTGAGCTCTCTCTAGAGCTTTAACTCGATTAACCACTTCTTGAAACGATGATAAATTCAAGGCTATCAACAACTCTCTTAGCCTAGGGCGCAAACCCTCTACAAACCAGTCACACACATCCTTCTCGGTCGGGATAAGTTCAGCAGCAAAACGACTTAACTTATTAAACTCACATTCATATTCATATACTGAATAATTCCCTTGCTTCAAATTCAGAAATTCTTGCTTCATCTATCTAACATATTGTTCACCAATATACTTACGATTGAATTCTTCCAAGAAGAATAACCAAGTCACTTGATCACTTCTTAATCTCATGGTGACATTTGTCCACCATATTCTGGCTTTACCCCTTAACAGGGAAACTATTCCATTTAATTTTTCCTCATCAGAACAGTGGAGTCCATCTAATATTATCTTGACATCATTCAACCAAAATTTTGCAGCAACCGAATCTTCCTCAACTTCACCCTTAAACTCAAGTGCTCCTAAACTTTTCAATTCTTTAGCTATATTCATTCGAGGAGCTGAGGGCGCAGGGGTTGAAAATGTGACAAAACAACATTTAACGTCTCGAAAAATAACCCTCGATCTCTCCCTGGTACTTCTGGAGGTGTACGCTCTTCACCATGCCTGGCCAGGGTAGGTGAATTACTACTATCCTCAAGTCTATTACTTCTCCTTTCACTTCGAGGACTCTCACGATCAGACATCTAATACATAACAATATAACTTTATTAGAAAACAACATACTCATGACTCTATCAGATCAGAAACTTTCACTTTTTGTTGGCATGTACACCTTTTCAAAACACTTTTTACTTTGATTTAAGCCTAGAATCGACTAAACCTTAGCTCCGATACCATTAAATGTAACACCCCAACCCGTATCTGACCCGAATACGAGTCCGAGATGTCACATTAACTATTTGAAACATGTATTTCACATTGACTAGTCAAAGCACATACTTTTATAAAATAAAAGTATAGAAAATTTAAAACTTCTATTCTATAAAGAAATTCTTTTACATAAACATGTTAAAACCTTAACAGACTCCATCAGAGCATACATATTTAATGACTTAGTTACATGCCAACATACTAAATTATATGACAAGACATACTTTACAAAATATTTCTGATCTGAACTTTGCGCGGAGATATGCTACTTTACGGATCCGAAGCTTGATCTTCTGACTTATCCACACCTACGTGTAAGACACTTACACGCTAAGTCATAGACTTAGTGAGACATGTAAATACATAAAGTAAACTAACAAATGCATGAACATCTTATGTAATACACATTATACTTATATACCAATTGAACCCATCACTAACATGTTTATCCTTACTTATTTCCTTGTCATTAATTCAATTCCATCATATGAGCATATATTGAACATATACGTATAACATAACTTCAAAACACAACAATACATGAATAATTACTATGATGATATCATACATAACCATATAACATATCATATCACCATTACACATATGCACTTGTTACCATTATTATCATATGATCCTAACTTATCACTTATACATATCACATATCACATGTACCATTTCACGAGAAACACACGTATCATTATATCAAATTATGGTTTCTTTTCAAAGCTCATGCACACTATTGAGAACTTAAGGTATGTGAGTACATAGAGGTTGTGCACAATGTTATCACCACAACTCGTATAAATCCCACTAGGGGCGCGTAGAATTTGTCCCGTAGGACCACTGTGTCTTAAAGGACCACTGATAATCCCTCGACTCTTGGCATGCCAACTATACCTATAGCTCTCATAACACATGACATGGGTATTACCTTTTATATCTTTTCACATATTCGCGTAGGCATATAGTTCACTTTCACATAGCATATTTCTATGTAATTCACATTCACTTATCACATAGCTTTTCACTTTTACTTGTATTCCTTTTCACATAGCTCATAGTTCTGATTTTTATCTCATAACACATGTTCGCATATACATGTTCTCATACAATCCTTTCATTCAATTATCATATACATAACATATTGTATGACATTATAATAGAAACACATATGAGTCATATTACTTTTACATATATTTTATCATATATCTTATGATCACACAACCTATTATCATAAATACATGCATTTACATAGTTCGCACATAAAGATTCATTCAACCATTAGACATATACTATTACTCATATACCATACATCTAACACCATATCACTACATGTTTTTTCTTTAGTACTCATATCATATAATATAGGAATTAGACTCATCGCAAGCCTTATTTCCTTAACATAACGTACACTTAATATCATGTACTCACCTAGTCTCAATGAACACTCTTAATCTCTTGTTTTCTTTGCGTATCTTACTCTACCGACCTATCCAAACTTTATTTTCGATCAATGTCTACACAATCATATATTGATACTTATCAGTATCCAATTGATATACTATAATCTATAATTTCTTAGACTGAAAGAAAGATTTATTCCATTTCCCATTGAAGTGCATCGATACATTCTACAGTGCATCGATGCATTCCTTAACATGTGCATCAATACACTATCCATGCATCGATACATTATCCATGCATCGGTACACAAATTACATTCGATGTTTTCATTTTAAGGGGGTGCATCGATGCACTCCTTATGCATCGATGCTCTAATTGCATTCGATGTTTATTTATTTGAGAGTGCATCGATACACATAGAAGATGCATTGATGCACACAACCCATAAATTCCATTTTGAGCACGAAAATGTCTTACTTTGTCCTTATATTCTACTTATTAACTCCTTCTTATGCCTTAAAACTTATCTATACATATGTAAACCTTCTTATAACACTTCACCACCTCTCATAACTCACCATAATTCTTGAATTAAGGGATTTTTATCAAATTTTCCATGTGTTCTAAATTTAATTCTATCACCTCTAACTTCTTAATTAACCATTTGACAAGTCAAATTCATCATTAGAACTCCAAAAACCTTTCTATAACAAAAGTTCATTTCTAAACTCTTAATAGAAACCCCCTTTTTAATTCTCTCATCTTGGTGTTTTAAGCTTTACTTAAGCTTATATAACACCCAAATAATCAAAACCTACTTAATATTCAGATAAACAACCATAAAAATCTAACTTACCTTTTGTAGCTACACTCCACGTGAAGAATAGAAAGCAAGAAGAAGAAAGAAAGCTTCTAGATATCTCTCTTCCCACGTGTTATCTTCCTAAATAAGAGAGATAAAAAATATCCTCCAAGCTAAATTATCATAATACCCTTATAATCCTTTCATAATTACCCTTTTATCCAACACTAAAATATTCTTATAAAATCCTTAAATTTTTCAATTTTCCTAAATTGATCCTTAAATTTAAAAAATTCTTATTTTAATCACTGACCCGAATTTCGGGATGTTACACTTCGTGTCCCGTTAATATTAAGTTGAAAAGTCTCGCCATTTGTTTGGCAATTGATGGAACGAGTCACCATATGCAAATAACAATGTTAGCAAAAAAAAACAAACAAATAGATTCTAGTAGTCTCTCAAATAGATTACAGTTGTAAGTATCCGACTGAACCAGACAACTCTTTTAGATTATAGTACTTGGACGAAATTAAAACCTGCAAGCATTTTAATGATTGCAATAGATCATGATATACTTATTAAGATTAGATAGTATTTCAAACCAATGAAATTGTGAGGTAGGAAGGTGCACAAAAATTTGGTTTTATGAAACACATGGAGCATTCAGAAATCATTACAACTAGTTCTAGTATGTGAAACCCTTGGGACACAAATCATGAATGAGATATGCTTATCAGAGAGCCTTCTGTTACCGCTTGTGTGAAAAAGATTTGATAACAGATTGTTCAAGTACTCATTTAAACATATTTTAGAGAGAGAAGTGGAGAGTATAGAGAGAAGTGGAGATGGAAGAGAAAGGATACATTTTGAATTGGGTCAAATGATGCTAAAAAAGTTAACTAATGTGTCATATCAGTATTTTGTTACTCTAATAATAACGGTTAACGAGTGATTAATTTATTATAAATCGATAACATTAATGATAAATTTATTACTTTTGAATTTTAATGGAGAAAATAAAAAACTTACTTAAATATTAATGATCATTTATGTAGTTTATATTGTTAAGATGAGAGTGCAGATAAAGGGGATTGATTTTTCACTCATTTGCTTTAGATATTCTGCATATTTTCTTCTTCTATGTTTGGTGTTCGAGAACGTCAGAGTGCTTTGATTTTGTATATTGTTGTCTCAACTCAATTGTTCACGTTATTGCTCATCAGACTATCACTAATCACTCACCGTTTTATTTTACTTATGATAATCATAAATATATTTTTTTAATATGCATATGATAAGAATTTGTTGATAATATTTTATTTAACTAATGAATATATTATAATTTTATTTTAAAAATTAAATAAATAAATAAAGGTAAGCAAAAGAAGGAAGCTTGTCCGTTGCAATTAAATACAGCTTAAAATGAACACTTAACTTCCACTGTTGTGACGCGGTTTCTCCAATGAAAGCCATGTGGGACTCGCCTATCTAAAACCAAACCGACACGGCTTCCTATTGTTTTATTTCTTCGACCCTTCCCATCTTAACCATCTCCATCTTCATCTGATCAAAGCAAAGTAAAATAGAACATCATCATGTCGTCTGCTCCTCCAAAACAACCCTCTTCTCTTTACCCACAGGTCGATCTTTCAAACCCACACGCTACTTCACCTTCATCTTCATCTTCCTTGTACCCTTCTTTGGACACGAAAGATTTAATCGAAAATCTCTTCCCCGAAGATCCCACCACCTACCAAGATTCTGAAGAAAAACTCCTCCTCAAGGTCCCCGGTGCCATCGTTCACCTTATCGAACCACAAACCAGCGTAGAGGTTGCTTCTGGTGACCTCTCTTTTGTTAGTCTCCTTCAAGGCGGCAACGTTGTAGCCGTTTTTGCTCGTATCGGTGATGATATCCAGTGGCCTTTGGCTAAAGATGAGCCCGTTGTTAAGCTCGATACTTCCCACTATTTCTTTACTCTTCGAGTTCCCTCCGATAAAGATTCTAAACAAACCGAGGATGTTTTGAACTATGGCTTGACGATTGCTGCAAAAGGGCAAGAGGGTTTGTTGAAGGAGCTGGATAGACTCTTGGAGACTTACAGTTGTTTCTCGGTTCAAGAAGTGAAAGGGATAGAGAACTGGAATCTTGTGGACACAAGGAATGTGGCGCCCGAAGAGTTCGACAGGAAGGAGAAAAGGGACTTGATTGTGGGAAGTTCAATGGCATATTGGACGACTCTGGCGCCCAATGTTGAAGACTATAGCGGATCTATAGCAAGGGCAATTGCTTCAGGGTCAGGGTACATTGTGAAGGGAATTTTGTGGTGCGGTGATGTCACTGTAGATCGGTTGAAATGGGGCAATGAGTTCTTGACTAAGAGGATGAAACCTGGTTCAACCTCAGAGATCAGTCCAGAGGCATTGAGAAGGATGAAAAGGTTTGTTTCTTAACTTTTGATCCTATTTGGGATGCTCTAGTGTAATAGTTCTGCAGCGAAGGACTATTGTGGGAGCTTTGTCTTCTAGCATGTAGGGTAAACTTAAAGCATATTCATTTGGTGAATCTGAATTTAGTAGTAAAATGGAATGTTATTATCTCTATTGAACCCGGGTTAAAGCAGCTGCCTTTATAAGAAGTGTGCGTATTTGATTGTTAAGAAAAGTTATGAACAAATACTATTTGTATTCCCGTTAGATTATTTAAAAAACTTAATCGTTTTGATCCTATTTGGGATGCACTAGTGTAATAGTTCTGCAGCTAAGGGCTATTGTGGGAGCTTTGTATTCTATCATGTAGGGTAAATTTAAGCATATTCATTTTTTGAGTCCGAATTTATTTAGTAGTTAAATGAAATGTTATTATCTATACAGAACCTGGGTTAAAGCAGTTGCCTTCATAGGAAGTGTGCGTTTTCGATTGTTAAGAAAAGTTATGAACGAATTATATTTTTAATCCCGTTAAATTATTTAAAAAACATAATCATTTTGATCCTATTTGGGATGCTCTGGTGTAATAGTTCTGCAGCTAAGGGCTATTGTGGGAGCTTTGTCTTCTATCATGTAGGGTAAATTTAAGCATATTCATTTTGTGAATCCGGATTTATTTAGTAGTAAAATGAAAATGTTATTATCTATACAGAACTTGGGTTAAAGCAGTTGCCTTCATAAGAAGTGTGTGTTTTCAATTGTTAAGAAAAGTTATGAATAAATACTATTTGTAATCCCTTTAGATTATTTAAAAAACATAATCTTTTTGATCCTATTTGGGAGGCTCTAGTGTAATAGTTCTGCAGCTAAGGGCTATTGTGGGAGCTGTCTTCTATCATGTGGGGTAAATTTAAGCATATTCATTTGTGAATCCGAATTTAGTAGTAAAATAAAATGTTATTATGTCTAGAGAACCCGGGTTAAAGCAGTTGCGTCCCGTGTTAAAGCAGTTGCCTTTATAGGAAGTGTGCGTTTTCAATCGATAAGAAAAATTATGAACAAATACTACTTTGTAATCCCGTTAAATTATATAAAAAACATAATCCTTTTGCTAATTGGGTGATACATCTGGTTTCAGGGTTAAGAAATTAACAAAGATGTCAGAGAAAGTGGCCAGTGGGATTCTTTCTGGAGTGATTAAAGTGTCAGGGTTCTTCACAGGTTCAATTATTAACTCCAAAGTAGGCAAGAAATTCTTCAACCTGCTGCCTGGGGAAATCGTTCTTGCTTCCTTGGATGGATTTAGTAAGTTGTCTCCTCTCATTTAATTTATCTTATTTGTTTTGATTTAATGTTTTCTACTTGGAGGGTTCATGTCTTGTAAAATCTATGGAGTGTGCAATTATGTCCAAAAACCTTTCCATTTCTTTCTGGCATGATGCTAAAACTAGTACCTCAATGTTTATCAAAATGGTCATTTTGTCCCCTATCCTATTTTTTAGAGCATTTTGACCCACAACGTTTCATCATTTTGGGGCAAAAAGACCTCTAACATTTGACAGAATAATCACTTTGTCTATTATTCTTTTTTTGTGGAACGTTTTAGCCCTCAACGTTTCATTTTATGTTAAAAAAAAGACTCCTATTTTGGAGCATTAATCGTGTGTTGACTAATAGTTTTCATCTATAGGAGCTTTTTGTCACAAAATTAATCGTGGGATCAAAATGCTCAAAAAAGAAAATGGGTCAAAATGACCATTCTAGTAAACATTAGGGGTTATTTTTGGCATTATGCCTTCTTTATGAGGTGGGATTAATTTAATCTTGTAGGCTTGTAGCTGCATAACATTGTGCATTTGTATGGAAACTGCAACATGATCTCTTACCGTTTTTGTGCTTGTGTGTCCACTTAGATAAGGTTTGTGATGCTGTTGAAGTAGCTGGAAGAAACGTCATGTCTACCTCATCTGTTGTGACAACTAAACTTATTTCACAAAGGTATAATCTTTATCTTTGAAAAACCTACATAGTAAAAACTTAAATTATACGAGAATTTGAACATCATTATGTTTACAAAGCAGTGATGGTGTTGTAGGTATGGAGAGAAGGCAGGAGAGGTGACAAATGAAGGGCTTGATGCAGCAGGACATGCAATTGGGACTGCGTGGGCAGTGTTCAAGATAAGAAAGGCTCTTAATCCCAAGAGTGCAATCAAACCCACAACACTTGCAAAAGCTGCTGCACAAGCTAATGCTGCTGAATTGAAGACCAAAAATAAGAAGTGAAACTCATACGTATCATACAAATAGTTTCGGGGCTGCTTTTTAGTTAGCAAACCAAAAAATTGCTTTTGGGACTGCAGTTTTCCCAAGGTTGTGCTGTTCTTTAGAATTCAACAAGTGAATTATTTGTATGATGTGTTCTTTTTTTTTAATAATGTTTGTATTTGTATGTTTGTTTCATTATCCATTTCACGAATAAGTTTTGGTAAAATATAGTTTAATGTATATTTGGTTGGTTGTCCAGAGAACATTTATTCCTTTTTTTTAAGTCTTCTTTTCTAGTAAGATTATATTTAAAATTTGTCAGAAAGATATAATTTACTGTAAAATAAAATATTAGCATTGATTGAGAAAATAACAAATTAATTAAACAAAAATTATTGCATAGTGTAATTACTATTTTAGAATAATCTGTCTAGATTATATAATTCTTAGAATTGAATTTTATGTTAAAAATAAATATTATTGATTATCTTAGGTTAATGCAATTTTTTGAAAATTTTACAAACTTTTTAGAAATAGCTGCTCTATTTGAAATAAAAACATATCAACTAGGGAAACTTACTTCATTATTGTCAATTAATCAGTTTGCATCATAATACTCTTCAAGAATTATAGAGTATCCAACAAACTCAAGTTTCAAATTCATTGTACCTTTTAGATATCTACGTAAACGATTAATAAGATTTCAATATTCACTATTAGAAATGTGAGTATATCTATTTAACCTACTCACAATATAGATAATATTAAACTGAGTGCAATTTATTAGGAATCCTAGGCTTTCAATTATCTTTGTTTACTAGGATTGTGAGACATTGTTCCATTTATTCTTTTTAGTGAAATGTTAAGATCATAAAGGATACTTACATGGATTATATCAAAACTGTTAATTTTTTTTTGGTTTGATGAGAATTCTCTACCTGACTTAATCATTTATACCAAAAAATTATACTAATTTTTCTCAAATAAGTTATGTTAAACCTAATGGACAAAAATATTTAGTCTCTTTAATGACTTTTTATGTGTGTAAAAAATCAATGAGTCATCTACATATAGATTCATGATAATATAATTAGAACTATAAAATCATAACTGAGATTAATTTTATAAGATTTCTCATACCACTGTTTTGGTATTTGTTTGATATCATATAATTTTTTTTGAGTCTATAAATTTTATTTTTCATCCTAGGTGTCAATCGAAGATTGTTTCATGTAATTTTTTTTATTGAAATCACAATTAAAAAGAATTGTCTTCACATCAATATGATACGCTAACAAACTGTGAAATGAAGTTAAAGAAATAAAATACAAATGATAGAGATTTTAGTAACATGAGAATATATATATAAATGTTGATCCCAAACTTTTGAGTAAAGCCTTTCACAAGTAGTTTTGTTTTATACCTTTGAATAATTTTATCTAGTCTTAATTTTTTTTAAAGATCTATTCATTATTAATATGTTTACAACCTTTAGACAAGTCTACTAACTATCAAGTATGATTGGACAAAATAAACTCTATCTCATCTTTAATAGCATCTCCAAAAGAACGAGCTTCAATTGAACAAATAGCTTCATATTTTTTGGATCTTTATTTATTAAGTAATCATTAACTATAAAATCATTAATAAAGTCTAAATCACCAATGTCAATTATGAAAGAAATAAGAAAATTAAGCCAAAACTAGTTGCTATCGTTTATCTTTTATTCCTTTTAAGTTCATCATATTTATCTTCTCTAGAAGTTTTCCTAGAAAAAAAAACATGTTTATCTAATTTCATGTTATGATTACTATTGAGAGAATGTTTTTAAACATAAAATATCTCTATGTTCACATATCAAATAATCATGCGATAACATAAATCTGTTACTATCTCTATTTAAACCATAACCAATTTTAATAATTTTAGATCTAATATTTTTTTTTAAAAAGTAGACAACCCAATTTTTTAAGCACCCCACACTTTGAGATAATCAAAATTAGATGCATGATCTTTTCACAGTTCATATGCAGTACAATTTATTCCCTTCTACCCATTATTTGTTTCTTATATTGATTATGCACATAGTTTTAGGAGATATATTTGACAAAGGAAAATGGCAAAATTATCCCTAAAAGTGATTGATAGATTTCTTTTAATAGGTGTAAAAGAGTGGGACATACAACGATAAAAAACGAAATATAAGTGTTGTTTGTAGACTTTTCTAATAGGACATTTTGAATGTAACACTTTTAAAAAAATCGAAAAAACACATTTAGTAGGACAAAGGAAGTAACATTTTATGAGAGAATCTATTAAAGATATAATTAGTAGAAAGTACGAACTTCCTTCACATATTATAAAATAAATCATAATTAAGAAAAGAGGCATAACATAGTTCCACATATTAATAAATAATTTAGGCATTTTTATTTTGTTGAGAATCTTCCTTTATGAATTGAATATCAAAATTTTAAGGTGTTATAAATATATACTCTGATGATTGTATGTACTATTTATATGTTTGTTATGTTTGGATGTATGTTATGGATATTCTGAGTGATTCGATAAGCATGCTTTTTAATTAATTGTTTGTTATCTTATTTTTTTAATTGTAATATTATGCCACACTGAATTTTATAATTGACTCTTTCATTAATTTTTATTTTCTGAATGACTAAGGACATTAGACATCAAGCTTGGAAATATGGTTGCATTATTGGAATGTTATTTTGCCCTCTTTGGACCATTCAGCTAGCCGAAGCTTATTATGATGTACATTGTATAATAGAAATATTACCTTTCTCGTATTAACTCGAGTGTTGTTATTATCTGCAAGTTTAACTTGTAGAGGTGATATTGATGAATGCATATTTCTTAGGGTTTTTGAAATCTCATACATCTCATTTATGTCTTAAGTATTTTGAAATCACCGAGATTATATTTTGTTTCTTTCTCAATTTCTTTTTCTATTATTTTATCATATTGAATTAAAGAGTAAGTAGATAATAGAATCAAAATCCTCGAGCTACCTTGTGACGGGTAGGGAGGAAAAAGCTAGTATAGGTACACTCTTTTTATCTCTTTTTCACTCTTATTACAATGATAAAACTCACCCCTATTTATAGATATTAGTGGTATTGAATTGTTGACACATGTTAACATCTTAGTCATTTAACATTCAAATATCTAGATTCTTCTAATAGATAATTCTAGACATAATATTAAATAGAAAAATTCTACAACGCTCGTCGAGCGTGGATGAGCACCGTTAACGATGAACACTATTAAATTAATTTATAAAACTTTAAATTATAAAGTGTTGAGTTAATCGATCGATGAAATCGGCCAAGAGGGGGGTGAATTGGCAATAAAAATTTTGGTGGAAGCTTTTGCAGAAAATTGAACGTAATTGCACAACGATTTACAGTGGTTCGACTTTATCAACCAAAGTCTACGTCCACTACCTTAGCTATCCACACTAAGGATTTTCCAACAAATTCACTAATTTGTTATTTCTTTTGAGGCCAAAGAGATAACATTACAACTCCCTCAAGAATTATACCCAATTTCTTGAGAACACTCTTTCTCAAAGAGAAGATTACAAATTTTGCAAACTTACAAGAAAAACCTCACAAGGTAAGATGTTTGCACAATTCTAGATAAAGAAAGAACACTCAAGAATAAATATAATTGAGCACAATAAGTGTTCTTGAAAGCAAAATGAATATTGAATGAAAAATAGGCTTGAAATGCTCAAACTTGAGGTTTGATGCTTTCTCTTTGATTCTCTCTTGATTCTAGTTGCTTGATATTTCTTGTTATTGATCAATGGCTTCTAAGCTTGTTTAAATACACCTTGAATCACTTCTGAATGTTGGGGGATCATTAAGTTATTGGAGCCGTTTAAGTGTGAAAATAATTAATATTTCTGCTTGGAGCGTGGGGGGAATCGGTTCCCCCTCATAGGGAATCGGTTCCCTAAGTGTAAAATTCAAATATTTCGACCGTTGATTAGGGGGGAATCGGTTCCCTCCGAGCATACTGGAATTTCTTAGAGACAAACCATTCAGGGGAATCGGTACCCCCTTGGGGGGGGGGGAATCGGTTCCCTCTGGACATACTGGAATTTTTGGCTTTGAAATGGTTCGAAATACTTTGTAAAATTATTTTGAAATTATTTTAAGATTAAAACTTAATTTTACACTTGAGTAAGGATTAAAAATGACTTTTGAAAGATTTGGAGTAATATTTTGATATTCGAATAATTATATCGAATATACTTAGAAAATCTTTAGGAAAATCTTAAAATTCATTTATCTTAATTTGTTATATCGAAATATCAAAATGTATTCAACAATCTCCCCCTTTTTGATATAACAAAACATTGTGGTAATTTTAAGATTTTGAAATCAAGTTTTGAAATTACTCCCCCTTACTCTAACACTACTCCTCTTTAAAACGCTTTTAACATTTCTCCCCCTTTTTGTTAAATCAAAAAGACTTGTAAAAGATTTTAAACAAGGTTCTGAAATTATTTAGCCAATTGATTATATATATATATATATAACTTAAGCTGCTAAGATCACAATCAAGAGAAACGTTAGCCATTAGTTTCATAATCAATATTCATAAACAATGTGACATGGCAAAATTGGTCATATAGCTATTGATGTAAATGATGCAATAATGAATAAATTTAATCAAACCAAATACATAGAAATATAAGTTCAAACATCCAAAGTAAAAACAATCCAAAAACATTCAAAATGTTGAAACAATAAGCTTTAAGTTCAAAGTACTAAAGCATAACACAAAGTCAAGCATCTGTAGGAGGATCGCGAGGAGGAAAATGAGCTCACATAGCGGTCATCTCATGTGAGAGTGCATCAATGCGTTCATTCATAGAAGGGTTGTTTGTGCGTATCTCCCGGAGAATTTCCAATTGTTGAGCTCCCATTGTGGATAAATGAGATTCTATGGAAGTGAAGCGAGAATCCATGGAAGCATATCGGAAATCGAATGTCTCCATAGAGGATCGAAAGTATGGAGGCGTTTGATCCTCTGGCTATGCTTG